GATCCGACATCATTCGATCGAGTCGAACGATCACCATTCGATCCGACACAACGTTCAGAAAAGATTGCAGAAGCCGAAGTGGGGGCATATTTATCAGCGTCAAAAATAATGTGTCTTGTGTACTAAAATGGATAGGCCGTTGAAGTGAGAGGAAGAGGACCAAATTAATGTGCTAAAATTGTAGACATGTGCAGAGCAACGAAGATATTCGCGCGAAAAAGGCGAGCAGACCAGACCGGTTTCTTGAACATTACTACCAAGTGAAGCGTCTTAGACTGGTGGCGATCTCTACTGGCCTCGGATGAAGTGCACTGGCGACACAGAGGTATTAGCGCGCCTCACCTTTTATTGAATGAACTAGTGCAGGACTGCGGTTATATGCGAGGAGCCAACGAGGGAGTGTGCACTTCTGGACATTGTACTTGTTTGTCCTGAAGAAAACTTTATTGATTGCAAAATGTTTCAGACATAAGCGATCAGAGTGGTGTTTTGTGGAAAGTGAAAGTAAATTTATTAATGTCGCGGAAAAGTCGATTTTTCGTAAATATCGTAAACAAAGATTACACGGCTTTTTGCATGATAAGTACGCTCAGTGGGTGGAAAGTGGCTCTAGCACTGAGGAAATATGAAAAAACTAAGTCTATTGTGCTAGAGTATAGTGATAGTTTATTCCACACAGAATATTAAAAGATAATCCGGATCCAGAATATTTTAACGGCCTGTGAAAAAAGTGAGAAAAACATACAATAAGATAGAGAGAGAAACAAATTGTCACGAATACATACGCGCTTCGGCAAAAGAGCTATTAGAGGCGCAGATGATTGCACATCAACAAAAAACTATAAATTCGTTTTTACATAATTAGAACAACAGCTCGTGTACATTTTACAAGTACGTGAAAAGACATCGGGAAAACAATGATATTACAACTGCATTCAAAACAGCAGACGGGAGAACCGTTCACAATGCTACAGAGAGGGCAAACACACTTCATTCGTACTACGCGTACGTTTTATGCCTCCGAAAAGTGACAATGTAGTTAACATATGCTCACGTAATAAAGATACGGAAACCTGTATACATCAAATATTTTGTTATATGGAAGAGAATGACGGTACTGGTTGAAAGGAAAGCCGTGGGATCTGATGGAATTCCTGCTAAAATTCTACAAGAGGGAGGGAAAGCCATGATTCCGTATCTTCCGTACTCCGATAATTCTCGAAATTACTAAACATTGGCATAATCTCTAATGACTGGAAAAATGCTACAGTAGTTCCTATTTTCAAAGGCGTAGACCAGTATTCAATGTTCAACTATGGAGAAATTAATGAAATACCAGTAGTAAACTGAAAGAACATTAAATTGCCGACTGCCCTGCTCTTGGCTCGACGACTCACTAGAGGCCATGGCCAACCAGCGGTGGCTCAGTCGCTCGGCCACGGGATGAGGGGTTCGTGTGCTTAGCACAAAGACATTCCTTCGCCGGTTATAGTGACCTTCTTTGCTTTAGGGTGGGCTTTCCCATCGTCCCAGCAATAGACACCGGAACATTTGTAAGAAGAGCGCACAGTTATAATTTTGGCCCAGTCAGGAATCGAACCCGGGGTTGCGCCGTGGAAATGGACCAACGAGCCACCGACGCACGCTCAAATTGCCGACTTATACGGAAAAAGACCAGGTGTAGAACTTTGTACCAGGCTCTTCTTGACAAAGTCAGCAGGCTACTCTTGGTCAAGACATTCCCGAATAACTACCACGAAGAAAGTATTGATGTCATCGTTTCAGACTATTCTAAAATTATCAATTTAGTTTTTCACGACAGACTTCTAAATAAAATATTGAATCGATAGTACATCTGCCGATAGTCACCTGGATTAGGGAATTTCTCTGCGATCGGACACAGCAAATTCGAATTGATGACTTTCTCTCTGACGTAGTTTCTGAGATATCGTATATAAATTATAAAAACACATTTTGTCAATAAACGCTTCAATATTTTTCAATGTTTTCACGGATAGATCAATGAACGCTTAAAAGAATAGTGTGTGCGTTCTTTCGTTGTACGCACAGACTTTTCGAAAATTGCACTTTTTGAAATAATACATGAAAGTATTTCTTGTTTTAGCATCACTAGTTTAAAAGAGATTTCATTTGATTCATCATGCATAAAACTCAGTAAAATGATTTCGTGGGTCTAGCCTGACGATTGCTTAATACTGGCTGTCCCGGAAGGAAACGTCGAACCTTAACACAAAAATCTTCACCCAATTTATACAGCTCGACTGCTTTTTTTTATTTCTGTGTTAATTTTTCTCTGTGAACAAAATATTAATTTCGTTTGTAAACAAACATATTACATGTATCTGTAGTGTTTCTATGCTTCTGCAATGTACATTTTTGTATAGATAGTATTTTTTCAAACTAACTTTTGAGTGCTTACTGCAGCTCAGCCATTCGGAATATCCAAGTAGTTTATCAGAGAAAATATGCTTAAATTGTGAGAAGAGCTTATTTTCGGGGTTCCGACGCTCCCCCCGGACACCTTGTGTGATTATTCGCCTGCAAATGAACCGTCGGGCGGCAGCCGACCTCCCGACGCGACGCGACGCCACGTGGAGGCCTCGGGGGAGCGCGAAGGACGCGTGATTCGTCATCGCAATGCCATCAGAGGCGGCGCATCTGGTAAATGAGAAATTCATATCGTTAAAATTCATTTGGTTAATTACGGCTCTCCGAGGAAGTTCCGAGCGGAGCAAGCGGCGGCGCGACGGGCGCAGACTCGCTGCGAAGGAACTCACGGCCGAACGACATGAAAGTTTTCCTCCCCTAGATCACTGTGTTGCACCAATTCATTGCACTTTTAGAATTCAGTGAAATTGAGATAGTCCTCATTGTAAGTAGGAAAACTTAGCTCATTACTGCAACATTCTACTTGAAATTTTAGTGGCGTTGGTAAAGGCGTTTGAAGTTGGAGCCCTGTCGAGGATCTAGTAGGACTCTTCAGTACACTTTAAATCTTCACGTTTAAACCTCACAGCTTCAATTCATGTCAAATGACACTCTAGCTAATACGTACGAAAATGGCGTACGTACCCTCTAGTTCCCGGATACATCGCAAGCTGCATCTTTCGAAGTCGGCTTGCACAGTGCGCCTGAGGGCTCTGTCCTGTCGACGTTTCAGGAGAATTTTTAACTCTAATTTACTCTACAATCAGCTTGATGTTATTTATCCCGACCGTCTTGCATTGATACGTCTCTCCATCTTCTTGTGGGTCTACGCGGATCAGGAGTTTCTTCGGTCGCGTTGTGGAGGAGCTTATTTGGGAGTCTCCTCCTAGTCATCCCTTGAATATGATGGAACCATTTTTTCTTTTCGCATTTCTTATGCGATCGCTTCTATAAGCGTATGTGATCTACAAGCGTATATCCTACTTCGACATACAAGCTGAAATACTTTGCGGAGTACTGGCAAGTCATTACCTTGTGTAAATTGCCGCAAATTGCTCGATGTGAGAAAGAGGCTGGAGGCATTTGCGAGGCACCGCCTGAGCGCGTGGAAGCGATGAAAGTCAGGCTGCGCACGAGCAACTCCACACGTGCGCGCGTTTATTGAGGAAACAAAGACGCAGCGGCGCCTCCATCGTCCACGCCCCCGCGCACAGAGCAGAGAGCAATTACGTTCCAGAGAAAATGCGTCAGTGTAGAACTCCACCAGATACAGCACGTGGTTCAGACTTTACGAATAATGGCAATCGTACGTTATGTCTGTTATTTCTGGAACAATTACGACAGTCCTGTCCTTTGGCTCGACAGCCTGCTACGGGCTTTTTCCCACCAGAGGTGGCCCAGCTTCTCGGGCGTGGGATAAGAGGTTCGAATGGTTATCGGGAACACATCCCTCTAGCGTATACACTGGTCTTCTTAACCTTATGGTGGGCTTTCAATAGATACTGGGACATGTGAAAGGAAAGCGCGTTGTAATTTTCAGTTGTAATTTTCAGTTTTAAGTTGTAATTTTCATCGGCCGGGAATTGAACCCGGGATGACGCCGTAGAAAGCAAGCACGCTCAACAACGAACCACCCGAAGGGGGAACAAGTATTAATAGAACTACAAAAATAATATTTATGGTACTTACGAAACTAATATTGCAACCGCCTCCCCACTTTCTATTATTGATAGGAGTGTTTATTACTGAGATCTGTTCTCAAACATCAGTTAAAAAAATAATTTTGGAAAATATGTTTTTCCTAAAGAATCGTGGGTCTTTCTTTGTTCTATTATAAAGGGAAATGTTTATCCACAAAATTTCTAAACTTAAATACATTTATTGTAACAAAGAAACAAAAATTGCACTTTTGTACCATAACAAAAATCACTTCACACACGTCTCTTCCCTCTTCTAGAAAAAAACAACACAATTTAATAAATTCATTTACAATTATAGTCTTTGTAACACTTTGACCATGATAGAGTGTTAATCAAGCACAGTTTGCAAATATCTTGAAAATGTTACAAACATTAATTTGAATAACATCAATAGAAGATAAAATAAATTTACCCTCCCCAATTTGACATTAGCATTTCATGTAAAATTACACAATATACTCCTTCAAAATAGTCAAATATATTACACAACAAAAAACTTAACTTAGAAACTCTCTCTTGAAAAACAACGTGAAACCTTTACAGCAAAATAAATCTTAAATTAATGCTCTCTGGCATGTTTTCTTTTTCTGAACTGAATATTGTTTCACACCCATTAATAGTTTCATTAGTAACGCATTAGAAAATTATTAAATCTATTAGAAATTATGATTAAATTCTACTTCCTCCACTCACAAGCACATAATGAAGTTCCATTTCCTCCAAATATCTATTCACACCCCGAATGTTCATAGAAACTTTTTAGAAGTGCCGTATTTTCAGCAGTTCATTTACGTCCTATTCAATCCGCTCAGGCAATGTTATTACAAAATAATCGTTCGAGGAAGTTCTTACCGTGATCTTGTGGATCGGAGTCGTCCTTCTCCGGGAATCATGGCCTCCCCAGGCCCACGTGTTGGCGGCTTCCAGTCCGGCGCGTCGCAAAATGTCCGTTTCAAAGCCGGAGCCCTGATACACTGCTTGTGGCTGCAGATCCACGATTCAAACACCATAAAGTTGTTTAGCTCCTGAGTGCACTTCCACGCCTAGCTTTCGCTCATCTTCCCCACGTACCGTCTCCTCTGGCGTCCGTCATTCAACTCATTGATACTCGTTTCTACCACCACTCGCTCGCTTCGGTCGGCACGGACGCCCCAATTCAAAACGTCTCAGAACGTCTATCTACAAGGTTTACTACTTCTTGCGCGCGCTATTCAAATGTAGCGTTGACAATTTAATCACAGATAGGCAACGGTTACAATATAGCTTCCAATTAAACACGGATTATTTTCTATGTGAGTAAAAAAATCAAATAATTTATTTGCTGCGCTTTGAAGAAAAGTTTGAAAATGTTCTACGAGCATTATATAAGGTACTTCAAAAATAAAAAATATCTCTCACAAACGCGGCGCGTATTCTGTTTGGCGATATAAGTGTTGATCTATAAATTTGAAAAAATCCAATGTAAGGTTTAGCTGCCAAAGAACGCAAATACGCAGTTTTAAAAAAAATCTTCTTTTGTAGCGGGTCAGTCTTTCCGTCTGCCTCGCTCTCCGGCTGTCCCGCTGTCCTTCTGTCTGTCGTCTAGGCTAGCACCTAAACCGTTCTGCCGATTTTCTCTAAAATTAATATTTCCCGATTGTTTGAACTCGACGTTTGGGAGTTTTAAACACATATTTTGATTTTTGGTGGTACTTCACATAAAGCCTCAAAAACCTTTTCTTTTTTTTCAAAAAAGGCCTCAAATTTGTTTAATATACTTTGTCTTCAGATAGCGTAAAGAATAAGGAGATTTCATTTTGTTGGAACCCCAGATTCGAACATGGCAGAAGTGCGATTTTTGGGACGCCTTCCTTCTAGGTATTCTAGGTAGATCATTTTTTCCTTAAAAACAGATCTTGAAATAAGGGCATGCACAATTTTTCGAACATACGAGTCATTTTTCCGTAAATTTGCACAAAATATAGGCAATTTTAAATTAATTTAAACAATTTTTCTCTCAAACTGCACCAATTTTCTTCGTATCGTTGTAAGCCAGTATTCTACAGCTGTAGTCATATCTCGCTGCCTGATCTCCATTTCTTTCGATCTCCGCAGGCATCACCTTCTAAATCTCTTCCTCCCACTTCTTTCTTGGTCTTCCTCTGTATCTTCTTTTTTCAGGATGGTATTCCCACACCTTCTTTGGCAGTCGCGCTCTTTCCAACCTTCCTATATTCCCATACCATAGTACAGCGTTTTATTTCTATCAGTTCTGAGGTTGAATTTCCAGGTTTCATTATTTCCATTATTCTTTGATTTTTTATTTTTTCCCTTCTTGTAACCTTCTTGTAACAAAGTTCCCAATATTCCATTTCTGTTTCTTGGATCTTACTACTATCCCTGGCATTAATAGTTAATAACACAGTTCCCAATGTAAATAGACTTTAAACAGTTTTATACAGTGTAATTTTTCTGTTTCGCTTTATTCTTGAATTCCACGTCAATTGGTGTAAAGATCTTACAACTAGCCTATCTCTATTTATTTTGTTGAGAACATCTTTGCTATCACGAACATCAATTTTTAAAGTTACACTCAGATAGTTAAATTCCTTTTTACATTTAATTATGTGAAATGTGTTAACCCTATTGTAATGCCGATCGCTCCGTCGGGATATGTCGGGCGCCAGGTTCAGTTCCTGTAACGAATGGATGGAAGTGAAGGGAGGTCAAAAATCAGTCCAATGAATCGTTTCTGACAAAATTGAATTTATTCCTGGCACCATGAGCTGCCAGGGAAGTTACAGGTCTCTAGAGAGCGACACAGATTACTTGCTAACCTTACGTTACGAGCTCATAACCTTAACAGTTAATGAACAAATTTCTTAACACTAACATTAATAACTTATTTCTAACAATTCATGCATATTTTTAACTACAATACACAAGGCCTGAGCGCGGCCACTCTTAGTCTCTCGCCAAAATGTCCTGCAAGTGAGCCCCGCGTCATAACTACGGGAGATAGTTCGACTTCGGTTAAATACCGGATTATTCACCACTGGCTGGCGGTGGCTCCGCAGACCGGCCGGATGGCGGTCCTCATTCGAAGACGGCGGGCGGCCTCAGGTCACCGACCTCCCACTGGGTGTTCCTCCTCGGCTGGCAGCGTGTCGTGGCGACGAGTCGTCAAATCGTGCGGACTCAGTCAGTTGAGGACACACAGGTACTGGCCGTAGTTTAGTGAGGGCTTGAACGGGGCCGATATGGCACTAGGCAGCGGATGCAGATCATCTTACGCGAAAGTGACGCAGGATCTTGCCATCTCGCGTCCAAGTTTCCTCCGCGGTAATTTTAAAAGTGCTTACTCGAGAATCTGAATTGTAAGTAAGTTTCTCTGCACATCTCGCGTCCAAGTTACCTCCGTTTCCCCCTCCCAAAACGTTTCCGAACCTGCAGATCTGCCCCTTCCCTCACGATGAGACGTCCCATAGGCCTAAACTAAATGCGTCTTAATTTTGAAGTTCTCCAATCGGGTTGCATCGTTTACGAAATTTTCCAGGGAGATCTCTTTTTCTACCTCGGGCCCTCTCTCTCTCTCTCTCTCTCTCTCTCTGTGTGAGCGATTCCAGAAGCTTCTGTCGCAGCTGTCCGAACACTTGTTCGCGCGGTTGCGTTTTTTTTCTGGGCCATACATTTGTCAGCGGAGGCTGATCGGCAGCCAGCCACTGAGTTGTAAATAACCCCTTTGGGAATTTGGATTCCTGGCGCGGGCGCGTGGCAAAAGGGGCCGCGGGTGCGTATTGTTTGTCTTGAGCGGTGGCTCCGGAAAGGGAGGCAGCGCGGGCGTATATGACGGGTCATAAATGTGTCCGCAACTAAGAGGTACCCTCATCAGCGGTCGGTCGGGCAGCTGTCAATGCGTGTCCGCGGCCTGGCGGTCGTTAGGGCCCCGTCCCGCAACCTACTTAACTGTGATGGGAGCTATTACGATATGAAATTATTATAATATTATTTGGTGACGCCACACTATGTGTTAACAGGTCCCTACCATACCATCTCCCTACCATACATTTTGTTTTTGATATGTTAATGTCAAGTCCCTATTTTTCATATTCATCAATAATTGTCGAGTAATATAGTGGATATCATCCTCATCACTGGCTGAGACCACTTACATCAAGGTATACAAAAATGTGAACCAATTGGTATTCCCATGCTCTAACTCTTTCTCTTCTTTTAATATATATTTTAAAGAGAGAAGGGGATTTACAACAACCTTGCCTCAGGCCTTTGTTTATTTTAAAAGCTGAAGAACTACTTTGTTCATCTTTTACGTAGCTTTGACAATTTACATAAAGCCTCTTTATAGCATTTATATACACCGTATTTATATTCTCATCTTCCATTAGTATCCCTTGCTTTGCTTTTCTCAGATCTACATGTACCATATGCATTTCTCTGCCTACACTGATTCTTTTTTCCACAATTTGTTTTAGACAGAATATATTGTCAATGCAAGATCTCCCAGCACAAAGGCCACTCTGTTCCTCCATTTCCTCTATCTCTGTTTCCAATCTTTCTCCTTATATCCCACCACATAGTCTCTCAATTGTACAGGTAACACTAATGCCACTATAATTTTCACATTCGTACTGTTGCCTTATAAATAGATGAAATGTGTTCCATTCTTCGGGAGATAAATCTCCTTCCAAACATTTATTGATATCGGGCAGTGATATCGGCGGCACTTGAAGGGGCATTATTAATTAATTCAATTGGGATACCTCCAAGGTCCGGGGGCTCTGCCACTTTTCATTGCCATAAGGGCCTTACTGACTTCCTTTGCTGTTATTTGTGGAACACTTTCTTTAGTTTCTTGAGTTTTATACGAAATGTTCTTATACTCTGTTCCATTCTCAGTTAGTAGATCTTTGTAATAATTTCTACATTTTCCGGGCCTATAGGGTCCACTTTCCAATGCTCTTTTTTGTTCTTCCGAACTGTACTGACAAATTTGCATGCTTCTGTTGATCTTGTACTCCACATTAATTTACTTCTATCTTTACACCTATTTCTCCTGTCTTCATTTTCATTCTCGACCCATTTCTTTTGACATCTACTCTGAATCTTACATACATTTGTCTATCTTGACAATATCCTGTAGGCATCCACCAATCGTAAGCTTTTCTCTTTTCTTTAACAATGCATTCCATCATTCATATCTTTCCTGTGCTTTTCCTTGATGTCGACAGTTAAAATCGTAGAATTGGTATTTCGATCTTGTTGTAGTCGATAATCGTAGATTTGTTGTTTCAGTCTTGTAGAAGCATTTTGAAATTTACATTCATTAAACACATTATGTTTGTGAATATAATTTTCTTGTCTACGATCTTCATCTACAAATTTCCATATTTAAAAAAGACAGAGAATCTTAATAGGAAGTGATCTGAGCCAGAATCTGTCCCCCTTGTATCTACAATTTTAGTTTACGTTCGCTGTTTTATCCCCACGTAATCTATAATTGATGAAAAATTTCTTCTTGATAGAAACCATGTTCTTTGCGCTCTCCGCTCACGAGTACACTGAAAAGACAGATTTGCGATGTCCGGCTTCGAATGTTCGCTTCATACGCTTAATGCCGAAGGCAGATGTGATATCGGTTAATATTTTCATATGCAGTAGAAAATAATTGACTCGGCAAATCTTGGAGAAATAAAAAAAATCAATGTTTCATCGCAATAGATTAATACCCTCACACAAAAAAAACGCAGCAAAAAAAGCAAATCGAACCATCTACTCAGTAGCGATCCCTGATTCATCGATGAATCCCAACGTGTTCTGTTAAAAATATTTAGTGATATGTAACAACCACATTACTACAGCGTCTCGATACTGTACGAAATATAACTTCGTTATTAAGGGTTAGTAATGTTATAAATAAAGTTTTCAAAATATGGGTAATTTCACATACGTTTGAGTGCAATCATTATTTAAAAAATAAGAAAACAAAATTCGTCGAATTCAATAGTATACAAATTCTTTAAGTTTGCTTAGTTGGCAAAATTTTACG